ATTCTATCATTGCAGAACGATGTACCCAAATATCGCACGAAATACACTGAACCAATTAAACGGAGTGCAAAATACAAAATGAATAAAAAATTGACTCACTTATTATGTCATTAACAAGTTGAGTTAATGACTTATTAAAGACATGTGATTACATGCAGAAGGCAACGCTGTATACAAACCTCAGAAACAAAGTCAATCCGTGCCTAAATTATCAATCTACGAGAGAAGATCAAAAATAGCAGAAAATGAACCCAATAATTGAGCCCTGCTGTTCAACTAGCCACATTCTACGTCGAAAAATACACTACTTAGTTCTAAGATCTTAATTTTAAGCTTTGTCAAATCAATAAGTGAATTTTATTTAGTTAGTTATGACCATCTCACATGCAAACTATATTAGTAAGCACGGATATCATGTAATCCTTTTTCTGAATTGCACTTTATTGTTTGGATTTATATTTAAGATTCATATAAAGTATGTTTGTTTTTAGTTTTCGCATATACAAAAAAAAAGAAATAACAAAAATTTACATAAATAANATTGAAACGCATGTTGTCATTTATCACAGTTACATGTTACTATATTCTAATTTTTTTTTCTAATATTAAGCTTTAGCATTCATTAAGACTACTTATTTCATTGTATTGTGTATCCGCGAATATTTTGACATAGCATGATAATTAATAATTGTATCTATCCATGTATTTCCTACCTATTATCCAATAGTTTTATAAATGTAATTTTATTTTTATATTCACATTCCACATATTACCTACGAATTATTACAATTAATAACAGCACAAAATACATTACAACAGTGCTCATTCATATACAGTATCAATCAATAATCCTCATAACACCCATTATATTTACGCTTGCAGAATTACATACACGATGGATAGACAAAATCCTATAATCGTAGAAGCAACGGCCAAAGGACCACAACTTATTGCAGGGAAATTATAGCCGGCTCATGCTTAAAGAGATTTTGAAGAACTTCGCAATAGTACAGTCCATAGAACGGAAACCCTGTGCTCTGGATTATTTAGGTTATAAGGTGATTTTTCGTTCACCACTGAAGGCAGAAATGGTGGCTAACAGCTTAAATGCAGCACTAACACTACAGGGACAACTGTATTCACTACCTCATCCATCGGATAATGTGAAGAATCAGACAACATAAATAGCACGTTCATCCTTGATGGATAAGAAATTAATCAGAATTTATAACATATGGAAGAATTGACGTTGGCTTAACATGAGATCCAGTCAATAAAACTGAAATGGAAAAATTCCAAAATATTCTTGGTTCGATGCTATCCTTAAAGGAACAGCCATGCATCACACCGTACACCATGTACAATGCTGAATAGTACCAACTGTGTTATACAGCGGTTGCAGTAGCAATACTGAATGCCGGAACAACCTTCGAAAAAAATGGGCAAATCAACCCCCAGCACAAAAAGTACAAACGCCAATTAATATCAGAACCCCAGTGTCAAGTAAGAATATAAAACTGCCTACAATCATGGAAACTCCTACAAAAGATAACGAAAAAGAAGCTACTCCAATACTTTAATTTATGAGAGTGAATCGTATTAGGACTTAACTAAGCGTCCTTATACAAAAACCCTACAATACCAAATATTTCAATGAATTCTTTCAACACAAGCATCCAACAGAGGATATTTATTTCTCAACCAAGCGACAACTACGGAAAATGCTATTTCCGTTCATATAACATATAGAATGTCTGAGTTGGCAGAAGATATGTGCCACACAATAGTATATTGTATAACTCAGCAGCCAAAAGGGGTAAAAGTTAAAAGTACGAAGAACAAAAATACAGCTAATGAAGATTATGCTCCTAAAGACTGTGACTCAATTCAGTGGAAAGTAGTATCTAATGTGCCAGTCTAAGTCATCTAAACTACTACCCGCTGAATGTCATGCACAATGATGGACAGCGATTGTAAGTAAGTTTCGCCACTTATTGTAACAAAGAATCGATAGCAAGAGCCTTCGAAGGACTCAAAATGGATGAGGCAAAATACTCATACAGGGATAGTAAGAAGACCCGTCAAACAATAACTTACTCATCGTGTGGGAATTTAATAAACAAAAGTAACCTCAAAGTGCACAGTCTTTTGTGTGAAACGCAAATAAATCTAAAAAAGACTTGCCTATCATGCCAAAGAGACGTCAGCCTAGTGAAATACGACTAGCACTACAAGCTATGATGCCTTGAGACAGGCGTTACAGCAAACCTCGATACACTTAACAGATTAATCATTAACAAAGATGATCTAAGGACCAAGCAGAAAAGAAAAGACATACATAACTTATCATAATAAGCCCTATCATCCTTCCAAATTGCACACTCGCAAGTAACTGTAATAATTTCATAGAGCAATAGAATAAGCCACCACTTTAGTGTATTACAATATGTTATTCAGCAAAAAAAAAAAAAAAACATATTTAATGTAAAAAATTTTTTTATAATGATCATATGTATATTTCAGATTATTGCTTATAAATTTTAGGTTAGGATAATTAAAGAAAACTAAAGACTAATTTAAAGATCGATTTGCTGGCCATAGATGAGGCACGTGCTGCCGTCGTCGCTGGTCGAGAGCCTTATGTCTTAGGCAGCGTCTGCTACTTATAGGTAGGCGCTGCCGATGGTTTCATGGATGCATCGTGTGAGAGCACACTCTAGCGTGCACTACGAGATCCTGCATAAAATATGCTGCGCTTTTGGTGCGAAGCTTGTGTTAAGGGAGTTGGGTCGTTCCCGCGAGGAGGTGAAGGGGAGCACGTGTATGATGCATAAGGCACCGTGATAAAGTCTGCTGTACTAACATAGCCTAAAAACATCCGCCCTTTCGATTACGAAAAATGCATTTGTGTTTGACTCGCCAGTACTCTTTTATGTTTAAATAATGTACTTCAAAAAAATTACAGAATATTCTTTAAGGTATCTAGTTTCTTGTGGTATTAATTAAATACCCTAAATACTTTCTCTACGGGAAATAAAAACTAAGGAGTAAACAGTATAATCAATCTGATCTTCTTTTAATAAAAGTGTGCTATAAATTTTCGAAATTAGAGATTTTAATGGTATAACATTGAAGTATAAGGTCTCATTAAGGCCTATACCAAGTTTAAGATCATAATTATGAGTAGAACGGCTTCTAGAAGTGATTTTGTGAAAAGCCATCGTGTCACGTAAAGAGTCGAGCTGATAGCAGACAGTGAACTCAGTGCATCCTTGTCTGCCACATGAATATAGCATACGAGCTGGAAACAAATTTGTTTACGTTTGTGCAACTATCTCCATAACTGCAGACGCGATTTTGTTAAAACTTTGCACGTATACGAATAAAGTTGTCATAAATAACATATTATTTTTTTAAAACATTATCATTGCTGTGTCAAGAGTAAAAGGTATTTTTTCACAACTTTTTTGATAACTTACATTTAAGCCCATACAAAAGACGACGAAAAAAGGACACTTCATGAACTTTTTCCTGGAAATCTGTGGACGCGATTGTGTTTAAATTTGGTGACTGCATCCATGTAATGTTTCGTTACAACATATATTTTTTTAAAAATATTTTCATCGTTAAGTGAATTTCAACCCAACTCCCGTAAGCTTTGGCTGGGAGCTAACGCCACATACATATAAACAATATCATAGTAAATCTTTGAGTACATGTCTGTTACTTAAAAGTATTGATTTCTTAATGATTTTTTAACATATATTTTTACTACTATGTAGATACTAAAAGTTGTTTCTACTTATAAAAACCACAAAAATAGATTTATAGACCAAATTAACACTGATTTTCAAGAAAATAATGTTCTGAGGAATGCTCTTAAAGCTATAATTGTTTCAAGCTATTACCATTTTGGGACTTTAGTCTTTATATACCATTGCGTTACGTAACTAGTTACTTAAGTTATAAAAACTTGCAGTTTAATTTTTTTCAATCATCTCTATAAGTAACCGTAACTATTTTGAACAAATCAGTGACTTCTTACAATTCAAGTCTCTCATTAAGAGTTTTTAATTTTAAAAAAGTTGTGTGCTTTGAAGGCAGTCGATCCCTAAACAACAAAAGTTTTTTACATTGTCAACAAGGGTAATTGGCTTCACAGACTTTTGGGAAGAAGAAAAAATGCGCTGCTTACTGAATTTAGAGACTTTACTTAAGGGCAGTTAAAAAATTATTCAAATTGTCTTGTTTATCATAAATCATAATTAGATTTTGTAGCGTAAATGTATAACATTAGACATGTAAAAATTAATTTTAGTCAAAAAAGGGTATATGCTAATTTATAATTATTCCAAAAAGAAATCAAGCCCAAAGACAAAAAAAGTTAATTGCATATTTTAAACGAAAGGCAAAAAAATAGATATTGTACTAATAAGGCGTGATTCGCTTAAGCTGTTCCAATTAGAATAAATCTTACCAAAATCAAACTACGTTTGTTTCTTTAAAGTTGATGAATGTGCGATAACTCAACTTCTTTGGCAACTTATAGTACTTCCTGATCAATAGCTTTTTCATTTACTGTACAATAATTAATTAATTTGGTAAATTGACTAACCTATGAAAAAGTAACTGCACAATCTTCAATCTTGACTATCCAAGGAAAAACTGGAGCTTGATTTCATCAAGTTTCATTGCCATATGAAGGAAAAAAACAAATCAGAATCACACCTAATTAGTCGTACATTTGATTTTTCACGCTTTTCGTTAAATTCTAAAATAATAGTGTCAAGTGTGGTCTACACTTATCCTTTAAAGTCTCAAGAATATGTGTCTACATTTATTTTTTCTTTTTATTAATTTTTTTTTTTTGACTCGATAACTAGTTGTTAACTAAATTTTTTTAAAAAGCTATGACATCAATTTACTTAATCGATAATAGAATTTTTTATTTTCATTCATGTATGTATAAATTATAAGCCATGGAAAATGAAGTTACTATCTTACCCAGGCACATAAGACTTGCAATTATTTAAATCCTTATCCCAGCCACAATATGGATCTCTTACACATCTTAGGCAATTATCATACCGGCGAGAGCACATGTATAAATCGATTTGCTTAATTCTATGATCAGAAGTAACATAAAGAGATTTGTGTTCCTTAGAGATTTCCATAGCTTGAATGGGTTCTCCAGGAGTAACATCTAATATATCTAGTAATGAAGATTGTGTTATGTCATCAGTATCAGTCCATTGAACTATTTTATATATTCTACCATCATCTTAAATGAAAAATTAAGATATTGGATTACTCTTCTTTAATCTCACATGTATAAGCCATTCTACTTTATAAATAATAATAGAAATTCAAAGATAATATAATCAATACATTACACTAAAGGTTATACGTAATATAACACTGAATATAATAATAAAAATACCATTTATTCTGACTACATATTATAAGGGGTATTAACAATTAGTTCTTAACTGTATATCATAACATGCGAAATAACAATTTAATGATACGTCAAAACAGTTATTTTTGTCCGTATCAATACCAACAAAATGTCTACAATTTCTTACACTATTGCAGTATAAAAAAAGTTAGCTTGAGCAAATGCTTGAAGCTGAGTTAGTATGGGCATAATATACTGCGCTGCAGAATCCCAGTTAATCATGGCATGCTTATGGCTTCAAAAAATAATCCACGATAAAGTTATCTTCATAAAATAAAAGTTCCATCCATCAGTGGAAGGAATATAAATAGTTTTTAATAATAAGTAGTTCCAAGTCTACAAATGCTTGTTATTCCTATTTTTACGACAATACCTTGACCTTTTATGTTAATAACTAAATGATTCTTTTTATTTTATTGCATCTCAAGTATTAGCGGTGATTGAAAGAGAGACTTGAATTTGTTGGAGGCAAGAGTTAAAAAAAAAATCTTTTAAAGATGCTTCCAAATTCTTATTTTCACTGTTATTGACCCAGTCCCTGACATACAATCAGCAGTACTACCAGGGCTGGATCGTGCCATTCCCCGACCTACGCCAATATTCTAATGCTGCCCTTTTACGGAGAGCGTTTTTCAATGAATTTTATTTCATCACCAATGTTATATTTCATAGTTACTTTACATTAAATAAATTATATTTTCCGGTGTTATCAAACTATGGCTAGGTGATACAATAGTTTGTTTTGCTATGTATGTACGTAAAAAGGAATTTTTACCCCTTTTGATCGCTGGTAAAATTATCTGATATTCTGGGCAACGTTGATAAAATATCATTTTTTAAGCAGTCAAATAAAAAAACTTTATTTATACGTCTCTAGGCTATGACTATAATGTAATATGTTTCTCCCCGTAGTAATTTTGTGTTGTCTATATTTTCGTGCTTCTTGGTTACTAACTTTAATGTTGAAAGATTATTTTTACTCTTGCGTGAAATTAGGAATTCCTTCCGTATTTATTAAGGCAACCAATGACTAGAAAAAGTTTATCTGTTTAATTTATTAACAGAAAAAACTTAATACAAATTCTACTAATAAATAAGTACAAAATAAATGTTCTTAAAAAGTTGGGAGACACTATACAGCTACATAGTCGAAATATGCTTATTATATGAGAGCATATCTTGCAAATAGAGTCTAATGAAAAATGAGTATTTTTCAAATTTTTTAGAAAAATTATAATAAAAACTACAGAGTAATCTCAATAAAAATTTAGTGCCAGAAAAATTCTAAAAAATTTGTTTTATCTAGAAACTGTTACTGCTTATTTGTTATGATATTAAAGATCATTTTCTAAAACTTTTGATTTTTGTTTAATGTTATACACAGGCGTAGAGGGCATATTGCCCTAATAACGGTAGTTTCCTTGGCTGTATGTATTGATATAAATAGTTTGACAATCGCATTACCGAAATCTGAGTACGGCCAACGCGTGACGGTATACGACGGTAAATATATAAGTGGTTGTAGTGGCAAAACGGTAGAGTTGCAGTTTCATCGATCTCCAAAGTTAAGCAGCATTTAGCAGAGTTAGTACTTGGATGGGTGACCATTTAAGTCTGGCCGTTTCACCTGTACCGTTAATTTTCAAGGGTTGATTAAGAGTTTTGCTTACGCTTCGTTAACGTGATCATAGGTGTGATTAAGTTGGTCCTAGTGTTTATACGTGTTTATACTTGTTGTTAATGAAGTGAAAAATGGATGAACACTCGGAAAAAAAAAATTATCAATGCCTTCGACAAGAATTCTTAGAAGCAGAATAAAAGGTCAGTTTATGAAACTACTAGTTATTTTTACAAATTTGCACGTATCAGTTTGAGAAAATGGCAGCTGCACAGCCCTATAAATACCCACAAGTAAATAGTAAGGGATAAATGTGGCTAAAGACACCATTTTTAGGACCATATGCGTAGTAGAAGTGGTAGAGAGAGTAACACAGATTCAGACACGTATGCGCTTTGAGCGCAATTCCAAAATTGCGCCCCCACTGGGCACTTTGAGAACGATTGGTCGTGGTTAGAAAAGGACAGCACTGTGAACTGATTTCCACATGCTTGTAGAAAAACGACATTTAAGGGTTGGTCACCTGGTGAATGGAGCCGGAAGCTTTTATAATAATAACCTTTTCTAATCACGACCAATCGTTCTCAAAGTGCCCAGTAGGGGCACGATTTTGGAATTGCTCTCAAAGCGAATAAATATATACATTTCCCAATTAGTTCTGAAAATAGTGGAGCCAATAAATGACTTTCGGACACTTTTTCCATACCTCCTTTTATACTCACTTTAGATTATCACCTTTTTTCTTCACAAATATCTCAAGAACGTGCCTCACTACCCTTACTTTGCAAAGTGGCATTAGAAAAAAAAGAAATCTTTCTACATGTGCCACATAACCTTTCTACTCATACATTTAAAATTTCTTTAGAAAACTTATGCGTAACTTATTTTATAAATCTGTTCCATAAGAGCTAATATTAAAAATGGAAACCTTGGGTACGTTTGTTTTCCGTTTGCTCGCTCGGTTATTTGTTCGGCCCATTGTGCCACTTTGTTCCTTCATGTATCCGGATACCTCAGACTCCGGATTAATTGTGTGGTTGAACAGAGCTACACAAAAAAAGATGCTCAAGAGCTTTAATAACTTTTGGAGATATTCTTACAATTGTTTATAATTGTTAGTTGCAATGGTATGTATAACTTTGCTGAAACTCAAATGTGCTATATATAACCTAAGAGCATATACTCCTAGATAGAAGTTAGTAATGCTTTGCAGTATGACAAGGCAGACCAATTTTAAGGTTTAAAAAGTATCTATCTTTCTCTATACGTAACGCAATTGATGGATTGATGGACGCGTAGTAGCTATCTCACTTTAGTTGAAAAGCGATTGGTTGACACTTATAAAATGAAACATCTCAATCAATTGCGCCCCAGCTAGAGAAATATAGATATTACTAGAACTTGGTCTGCCTCCACATGCTGTAAGGCATTGCTATGCTTCCTCTAGGAGTATATGCCGTAAGATTCACACATACTTCAACATATAAATTATTGGAAGCAAGCAATCTTACATCATATTTCACAATTGAAATATTATGTTTGACTCCAGAAGTAACAGATAAACCTCCTTAATCTATTATTTTTGCAAGGTATCTTATCAGATTTTTAAAAGGAATTAGATACACAGCCATTGGTTTTTTTCGATTTTGCACAATTAACAGTATATAGAGCTCTTCTATTAAATATTGTAGGAAACAATAAAACAAGAACTGTATCCACATGATATTATTTTAATACTAATACATGGTTTTATAACGTATTTTAATGAATTGTACTTAATATTTTTACAAATAATTGAGAACAAACTTGTTTTTTCTCTAAGATTTCTGTTTACAATACTACCATGAGAAGCTAAAAAACTGTTTTTTAATTTATGAACAGAGAAAACACAAAACAATTTATTTTTGTTGCCTCACCTCTCAACACATCCCTGACATTATTAATAATGCTACTGTTATTTACCAAGAGATGTAGGTTAGTGTATAAATAAAATAAATGAGCACCGTTGCACAGTGTGACGAAACGCAAAAAAATGTGTCACAATTCGCGCTTCAACTGAATTTTGCTCCAAAAAACTATTTTTTGATATCGTTCTACTCGTCTTGGACTCTAGTTTTAGAATCCGTTTCCCTCGCATGTCTACGTTGTACTATGTATTGTGTAGGTGGCGCTGAAGTCGTCATAGTGGTCATATCGAATTGCTTATATTTGATTTCCATAAAAGTTTCGACCATAAAAAATAAGTTGGTAGTGTTTACTTGCAATAACAAGTAGTGATTTTTGAGGCACTGAACACGAAAATGATATCTATTTTGCAAAAAAAATATATATTAAAAAATTTTTAAAATACGAGCTGCACATGTTTTCTATGGGTTTTACGGTTTGTCGATACGAATGTAATATTTATTTTGCAAAAAAGAATTGCTTAAACATTTTGTTTCGATAAACAAGGACTTGAAATTTTTTGAAACACAAGCTGCACCTATTTTCTATATTTTATAATGTTTGCTGATACGAATATAATATGTTTATTTCCATAAAATTTGCTTAAACGAATTGTTTAGACAAACATGGGTTCGAAAATTTTTAAAAAACAAGTGGTGCATATTTTCTACAGGTTTTAAGGTTTGTCGTTACAAATCTATTTATTTGTTTTGGAAAAAAAAATTTTTTAAACAGTTTGTTTTAACGAACATAGATTCGAAATTCCTTAATACACAAGTGGCACATATTTTCTATGGTTTTTAAGGTTAATTGTTACGAATATAATTCTTATACTCAAGAAAAATTTGTTCAAACAAATTGTTTGGATAAATATTAAAACAAACATTTTTTATAACATGCAACAAATTTTTTTCTATAGTGTTCAAGACAAATGATAAGGAATTTGAGTTTTAAGTTGTAAAATTATTGGTTGAAGAAATTGTTTGAACAATTATGAGATCATAAGTTTTTAACTACCGGACAATTCATTTAATCTTTAATCCTTGATGTTACTTCTCAAGGATCTGCTATTTATTCATTAAAAAAAGCTTTTATAACAAAATAGTTTGAGCTAAGACGAGAACATAAATGGTAAAAAGACAAACGATATATGTTTCAGCTGTTGCAGATGTCCGTTTTTAATTTTTTAAAGTTGACTTTTCAAACCCGATTACTTATACAAGTTTTTTTATAAATTCTGCTGAGAGTTGGGTTAAATAAT